ATATAGGTTAAAACTAATTGCAACGTAAATTGCAACATTAAAAGTTGCAACATATTAATTACAGTTCCCATCTTTAATAATAAGCTTTTCATTTGAGGGGTTGAGATTGTAAAGCGAGGACAGTCTAAACCCTTTCGTGAGGTAGGTAAGAAGATTATGGATGAATCTATGAAGATGAATAATTCACGTACCTTACATCAGATTGTGAAGGACGTACTCAAAGAGATCATAAATGATATTTTACAGATAGACCTTACTGGGATGGTTAAAACTGCTGTGTGAAAGCCTGATAAAGATAATAAGTCTGTCCAATGCTTTATGTCACGAATGTAGGATAGACATACTCGTGAAGAAGCAGATGCAAAACAGCTCATAAAAAAGGGCCTAACATCCAAGCCTTATCTTTATGAAATCACAGAACTAGGCGAACACTTTGAGTATATTATAGTTGAGAATGATTCATCACAGAGGATAGGCGATAAAATGGAGTATCCAGAGGTAGTGAGGCGATTAGGTAAAAAGATCGATATCAGCTACTATCTGAAAACTGTTGTCAGCCTCTGTACACGATTTATTAACTATGATGAAAGTTTCCAGCCATCATCTAAAATTGTGCTGAAAGTCTTAAAAAAGTTAAAAGATGGTAATAAAGCGGGTGATAATAAAGTGGAGATGGTGGGGTAGATGAAGGCGACGACCTGAATGAAGACGAAGAGGATGAAGACGAAATAGATAAAGATGAGATATCAAAAATAAGAGATGCCTTAACGCAGAAATCAGCTGAAAAGTGGGTTAGAGAATAAATCAAAGAGCTACATACTGGTCTGAAAAAAGGTCAAGCCATTATATCCTATCTGTGAAAAGAGCTAATACTTATGCGAAAAATTTATTTAATAGCACGTATGCTGATAAAATAGTAAAATACTTGGGAAATGATACTTATTGGTCTTCCTACCTCAATGCATTAGACAAGCAAGAGAAATCCATCTGCTTAAAGCTAACAACATTACTCGCAGAAATTTCTAAGATTGATGTTGGCTGTAGAGATGGAATGTATAAATTAGTTACTAAGGTCGGTAAGCACAGATCGAAAGCCATGTCCTTAGAAAGATACATGTTATCATATAATCTGGAAAATGATATGATTTACTAATTGATTTGCAAAATATATGGTATAGGATAGTTGGTCTAGAAATTTCACGCTATCGAATGTTATCAAGGTTACAGGATGATAAAAAAGATGATTCGTCTGAAGCAGATATAGACGAGATCATCAAATTATATGGTTAAGTACACTTAGCGAGGTCTGGGAATTCCAGTTAAGAAAACTTAATATTATTTACATATTTTTTCTCGTGCAATAATACCAGCTAACTTCAATTCCTATCTTCGAACTTCCAGCCTAGAATGATCACTCCAAACTTCTGGCCTTCGATCATACGGCCTATCCTCAGAAATGTTTAGAGATGATAAAAAATAGTTCCAGTTATGAGAAAACTCAATATTTCTTATTTTTCATAAATCCCATATTTTTTTCCCAACGATCCATATAATTGCAAGAAGTAGTAAGGTGAGTATGATATATATTGATATCAGTGACATTAAGGAGCTTGCAATAATAGGAGTATTTGCTGGTAAAGATACTGTTTCTGCGCCACTTAATTGCTCTGCAACCCTTCACTTAAAATATACTTTTCAGAATGTGCTAGTCGATTATGAACAGATTGATTGGGTAGAGTATCTGTCTGGCTTCTCGAAACTATCTCATTCTGGGGTAATAGCTCTTGCAAAGCCTCTAATATATTTTTCCTAGCAAAACTTTTATCGAATTCTATAACTTTATTTTCAAGACCAAGCTTATAAATGAGGGGTTTTAAATTGTCGCTGACCCAGCCTGGTAGTTTTTGCGATGAATCATTCATAAGTGGAAGTGGGAAATTAGAAAGCTCTGCTATTTCATTATCTTTTTTTGAGATTATCTCTCAGAGACAAGAATTTTCCTTCATTGAATTTATTCGCGCTGAAGACAAAGCATTTATTTTCCGTTTGAATATATTATGTGATGACTTTATCCCCTTTTCCATGTATTCTATCATATAATCTTTTGAGGATAAATCATCATTTGCCTGTTTCAATTCAAGCCTAAGTGAATCGATCTCTTTAGGATCAGATGAGTCTATTTGGGCTGGCTCCTCTAGTAGTCCTCCCACTATATGCGAATCACGTTCTAGTTTCAGATCTAACAACTTACCTTCCAATTCAACTACCTTAGCTTCAAGAGAAAGTATTTTGACCTTGTCAGCAGATGAAGCTTTCTGCGTCAAAGTTGCCTTTCTCTTTAGTGTTTTAATATTGAATTTGAGCGATTTGATTTCAGCAGAATATTTAGCCTCAAGCTCAATACAGGATATCTGTTCATAAGTAATTTAAGATGTAAGCTTAGTATTTGCACCATTTAGCTGACTAACCTTATTTCCAATATCAGCATAGAATCGCTGGAACTCCTTTTCTCGTCCTGAATACTCTGAATTTTCAGTCTGCAATTTTTTGTTGAAGTCAATAATTTCAGAGTTAAAATCAATAGCAGATCTTAATTTTTTTTTGAGCTCTTACTCATATGTACTACCTAGCCGATGTCCTCTATCTTTTATATCTTTTAGTATACGTACATTGGACATAATATTGGCATAGTTACATAGCAGGAAAAAAAAATATACAAATAAAATTTCGAGATAATACATTCAACCTGTATATTCAGAATAATATAATCTTCCTATATATCCTGTATATCCTGTATATCCTATTTATCCGGAATATGTTTTTTTTGTACATCCTGTACATCCTGTCTATCCTGTTTATCTGAAATATATTCTTCCTATATATCCTATATATCCTGTAAATCCTATATATTCAGAATGATACATTTTTCCTATATATCTTATTTAATAAATTATTTCAGAATATTATATTAGATATAAAAAAAATATTGCTACCATGCTTAGGCAACGTATGAGATGTGATGTCCCTTCTTTTTCACTAACTGATTACAATTTTATTATACAATGTGCTGAAAAAAGCCTAGAGATGAAGTTTTAAAGGATTTAACAGATAAATATCACACATCACAAAAACGTATTTATCAGATCTGGAGAGGTGAAGAAAAAAATAGGGTTATGTGAAATCAACCAATTCATATACCAATAGCTTCGCTTTCTAATATAAATGTTGTGAGTGAGCAGACTGAGCAATAGATCCAAGATCAAGATGTTTCTCCATTTACAGAATTGGAAAAATAAATACGTGATAGTAAGATAGAGTCTAATAAATCTACTGATTTGGCTTCAAAAGGGAGTGTTATTTTAGGCGGTAAGGCAAAAAAGACTGAAAGAAAGAAATCGAAGTCTGTTCAGATTTCTGAATCATCTAGTATTTAGACTCAGCCAATCCAGACTTCAGAGAAGGATACAAATAGTGTAAATTTGGATGCATCCTATGAGAAGATGGTTGAAGAAAGTACAAAAATTATAGATGAAAAAAGGAAGCGTTATCCTAAAATAACTTGCCTATTCCCTAAGAAGATTTTCGCAAAACTCATTGATTTCTGCATTGAACTTGATAACATTGGAAAGCTTCTTCTCAAGCTCTTTCATACGAATTGCCATACTTTTATAACTCACTTTTTTTTAATATATTATCGTTCTCGTTTAAGTCTTGCAAGTCTTGTGAAATATTATCTAGAATTAAGGAAGCATCGCATTTAGGAGTAATGTTCGCGTAATTCACCTCAAGCTTATTCTTGACCTTATACATATTGATTGGAATAAAAAATTCCTATTCATTACATTCTAGTCTTAACTTCCGCTTTGATGCAAGTAGATCATAATTATATTTATCGAGAAGCGTGTTGGGTAAGATTAGCCTTGGTTTAGGATATTTAACTACAGCAAAATCAGCGTATATAGTACATCCAGATGCGAAATTTACTGGAACATTTCTAACAATTCCAAGCGACTCTGTAGGAGTAGTAGCAATGCCTCTGAGTTCATATTTTTCTTTTGTGTCAATTTCTAGCTTTGATTATTTGGCTATATCCTCAGATATAATCGGAAAATTAGCACCAGGATCAACAGTGCTAGCCAGAATCACTAGACACTTAATTTTACACTTAACAGTGACAACATCTGTGGCTGGTTCTTTTCTTTGGACAAAGTCTATCTCCATAGGATCATTGATGAACTCATCATAACATTCAGATACAGCATGAGTCAGTTCTCGAAAAGATGAAAAATCATTTATTTAGGTTCAATCTTATCTTTGGTTGAATCTGACTTCTTAGTATCTAGCGGGAAGGCCTGAATCATATATGGGGGAGGATCTTTTAAGTTCTTCTCGCAAAGCTAGACTAAGCTCACTTTGAACTATTTTACGAATAATCTGCTGATTAGCTTTAGAAGAAAAAGAATCGGCAAGCGTATTATTCTGTTTTGTCTTGCGGGTCTTTTTCTCAGATTTACTTTTACGCCTCCAGTAGATTTCTTCTGAGAAGATGATTTTTTAGATCCAGATTTATTATTAGATGAGGTATTACGCTTTACTTTTTTTTGATTTGGCAATATTAACAGTGATATTGCACTCAGAATCAGAAGAATCAGAAGAACTTATATCAGAATCAGAACTATCTCTAAATGATGAATTGCTAGAAGAGGCACTAGAATCTGAATTAGAACCTGAATCTATAGTGACAAGATTAACCTTTCCTTTTTTTGACTTCTTACTTTTCTTTTTCTTCTTTCGAATATATTTGTGGGAATTATGTTCAGTTCTATTACAGTTAGAACAATGCTGTTACTCCTTCATAGCTTTTTTAATAGCTTTAGCCATGTGAAGATTTAACTGTTTTTGTGTAAGCTCAGCAAGTTCATCGTCAGAATCAACTTCAACCTTTTTCTTTGGCTTTGGTGGTAAAGTGAGATTAGGAATAGAAATAAATTCTGGGGTTTATCCTGTAATCTATGATAAAAATCTTCCTATATTCTCATTTCGTAAATTTTTATGCGTTCCCGTGAGTTAAGATTCTGAGGATGCTATTGTATTTTTTACCAAGCTCTCGATTTTATTTTTAGTCATCCCTAATCTGTTAGTATCTGTATATGGATTGGCCGTCAGAAAAATTGGAAAAGAAGACGGTGTATTCTTTTAAGATAATATATATTTTTCTGCTTCAGCTAGAGCTTGTGTAATATTATCCTGTGTATCATAAAATTTGGTCATCATTCGAAGATCATATTGATTCATTAGAGACAGATCACGAATAAATTGTTCTCTTTGCTGTTCAGGAGTCATTTCGGCTAATTTACCAATCTTTTTAATTCTAGTGAAGAATTGCTTAACTGACATATCGTCCTGCATGAGTTGACCAAAAACTGCTATTTGTTTTAAATGTTCAACTGTTGTATAAGCGGTTCTAAACAGGTATAGAAGCTGATCAAGCTTAATACTATAAGCAATAGTAACAGCAGGAAAACCACTTCCGGCATTAGATGCTACTGGTGCATTATCTACAGGTTCACCACCAGATATAGACCAATCTTTATTCTATGTTCCATTT